AATTTTGGTAAAAACAATTCTTAGGATTACCTAAAAATCCATTTTCATATCTAATTATAAAATTTTAAAATCCAAAAATAGTTAAAATTTCAATCTAAAAAATGTATTGCAAGATGCACTATTTTTCAAACTCAAAATCTTTTCTTTTTCATATTCATACATCTTGATGTCGAGATGATTAATTAGAGGTTTTTTCAAAAGTAAAACAACCTTTTCCAATAGATTTTTGAGGTGCATCGGTAATTCTACATAAGGTTGCAACCTTATATAAATTGTGTGCGCGCACACACGTGTGCATGTATGTGTGTAAACTCGTACACATGAATATTTTTTTAATGTACTCAACATTTTAGACACTAATTATCCATTGTTTTGTAAAAATGAAATTTTTGAGTGACGGTATTTTTCTTTATTACAAGAAATAGAGTAGATATTTCTATGAGAAAATAGTGTCATTTTACTAGTGGCTAAGAAACAATCATTGATCCAAGTGGGTGATATCGCATTTCATGTAGACAATATCATCCTTTACATTAAGTTAATGTTTTTTTTATCAAAAAGTTATACTTTATTCCTGATTAATAACCTACAATAACCCTAGAATTACTACATGGTAGAAGATATGTATCAAGTGTCTAACAATGTTGAGTACATTACCTTAAGGAAATACTCATATGTATGGAATAAATGCAACCATCTTATTTCATATTTAATGGACAAGATTAATTGTGATCACCTTGTACCTTGTATACAATGAGACCATTTACCTTGTACATGGAGATCACAATTACTTGTAACCCATGTGATGTGAAATCTGATAGTTTGAGTTTGTCACAAAGTTCGAAAAAAAAAAAATTGAACTTTTAACCTTGTTAATGAAATAAATGCAGCCACCCAATTTCACATCCAATGGTCAAGATTAATAGGAATTACCTTGTACTAAAGGTAAATGGTTTGGATATACTTTCCCATCAATATACAGCGAGAGAAGAAATGAAACCTGCCTCCTCGAGAGGAATGATTGATTGATCAAGAATAATGTACATACATGGAGATCATGGGAACATCTTCCAAGGCTTTTACAAGCACAGGTGCTTCTCTAAAACATGCACCTGAAGAATGAAATGGACAAATCTCAAGCAATGGTCTCCTGGGGGTCCTCATCTGTGAAGCCATGAGACAGAATTCTACTGATCAGCTCCTTCAAGTTCGCCAATACGTGACGAGGCCCCCGACTCTCTACTCCGATGTGGTTTAAGAGCTGCTCTAAATCCTACATTTATGAAAATTTAAGGGCATTAGGGTACAATTGAGCTCTCTCTCTCTCTCTCTCTTTTACACAAACATGAAGAAATTCCTGTACATAAAGCAGTTGATGTTACACGCAATTCAAGAAAGGAAAAGATACGGATATGACAACAACATGACGCACAAATAACCGTAACAACAAGGTATAAAAGCAATGGAACAAGGTTGATAACGGAAAGAAACAGAAATATAGGGTACCCAACATGTTGGTTGCTGCATAATTTTTGGACTGTTTGCTCTTTTCTAAAAGGATGAGGAAGATTTGGGGAATAAGGGACAACTTACAGAATTGAGGAAGATGCCCAGCAATGGAGAGAGAGAGAGATCCAAGGCAATCCAGGCACTTTGGCATGATCTAGAAAAGGTTGACAAAGATGCAAATAGGATGGACAACTTAAACTTGGCATGCTTCTCATAAACTGTAAGCCATCAAAACTACTTGAAAATAGAATACCTAATACATCTCCTAACTAGGACACGACATTCAAACTGCTTCCAACAAATCCCATACTAAATAGTGATGGTGTCATAAAACCTACAAAGAACAATCATTTTAATGTTTAATCTGATCTATTAAAGACATGGAACCTTATTTAACCCAAAAAAAAACAAAAACAAAAAAAATTAAAAAAAATTAAAAAGAAAAAAAAGAAACAAAAAAAAACAAAAAGACAAAATCATCTCATAGATAAAAACAAGAAGACAAAATCAATGTCATAGAACTAACAGAGCCAACCATTTTCTCAATATCAGATCATAGATATAAAAGGAAGTAAACCTTGTTTAACAAAAATATAGCATAAGCTGCTCTGGTTGTATCTTGGCCTTCCAAGAACAGAGGGAATTCAACAGGCTTTGGGCTCACAACAACCTCTGAAGATGATAATGACAAATCAGATGACACAGGGTCAACAGATGGTGCATTGTCATGAATGTATGAGCGTGAACCTCCCAAGTGCACAGGATATCGAAGCGGAACATCCAAGTAAGACGCAATAAGAGAAACAGCCTGAGAAATAGAAGCAAAATCATGACCAAACAGTTCAGCTTTTCTCATTTGTTGATGTTCCATAACCAACAAGTCAACAAACAATTTGAGTTAAAAACGATTCAAGAGCAATTCAAATAAAATTAATGTAAGGCATACTCAATTTACAGATTACTTATTACACAAAAAGAAAACCAAATTTCAGTGTATCACCCCAAAAGAAAAAGTGAAATTGAAATTAAATAAAAAAACCACCAGTTTGCAGATGCTTTTCAAAAAAAACAAAAAAAAGAGAAACAAAACCTGACATGTATTTGTAACCAAATTTGTGAGAAAGCTCACATTAATATTTAAGATAAATAGACAATGTGAACCAAATTCCATAGCTTACTATCCAATAAATACAAATAATTAGAAACATACACAATTGGGATATGCATCGCAAATAAAAGGTGAAAGAAAAGGACAAGATGAAAATGAAAACTACTAGACCAGAACATTGAGGAGAACTCAGGGCCAAAAAGTACGACTTTCCATGTAACCCAATCCAAAACAGTCACAACTCACATGTGCTACATAGCCAAGAGAAGTTGCAGACCTCTGAGCCTCCTTCTTATCACTGAAAAAACTTGGTTTTCTTAAAGTAGGTGTGGGAAGTGGCAGACCCAAAATGGTCAGAGATGAAGCTGCCTCTGTATTATTGTTATTGTTGTTATTAGGCTTCGAGACATGTGATGAAGATGATACAGAATCCTCCTCTGGAAGAAACACAGATTGTCATGGCCATGCATCAAAAGAAATCAAATCGAAATAAAAGATTAACTTTAATAAACGAATAACACATGAATAACACATAAAATGAAGCAACAACAGAAGAATAAAACATTAGCATATCACAGAAGGAAACTAACAATAGCTACGTGGCAATAGCCAAAAACAAAAAAAACAAAACAGAAAATACTATGGAGTGAAGAGAATGACCTGATGTATTTCCTCGATGATCCGAATTGATCTTTTCTTCAGATGTCTTTCCCACTAAACACTTTACAGGATAAATTGAAGAAACTTGGGTAACCATGTATTGCTGCCTAATTCTCAGCAGCTTTTGCAAATGCTGGAGATGGCCATAACCTCTTTCCCCAGCTAGCAACTTCTCAGCTTCCTGCGAGGAAAAACAGAACAAAACATAAGAAGTTTGAAACTTCTGAAGAGAAAATAGATTCAAACACTGGCTAACATATAACGAATGCTTTCTTTCTTTGCTTTTATTTTCTCTTTTTATGACAGAAAAAAAAATACATATTTGTAAACTTAGTCCAAAAAAATATATACATATTTATCAAAAAAGACAACATGGAAAACAATGAGCTGAACAATTCCTACCAGTCACCTGTCACACTCAATAAATTACAATCAAATTTACTGTTGGCATTCGTTCCAAGTAATGGCATCAAAGAGTCCCAATATTAACAAACAACTTTTCATAAACCAACCTAGGAAGTGTTTCAATTTTAGTACGAAGCACATTATATGAGCTCTAAGGTTATCCACTGTAAAAGACTGAAATGCAATGTCTTTTCCAAATAAACTTGTTTACGTTAAAGCAAATGAACCACAGTTTGAGATTCCATTATTTGCTGAATGTTGAATGTAGAGTTATTGGCTCATTTTTTTACCCTTCCAATCACCCATGCTTGCAAAGAATAACTCCTCTTGGTTTTGGGATTTATTACACAATATTTCAAACATATGAAACATGTCATGCTGCACTTGAAGAAACACATAGCTTTATGTCCAAAACATCCCTTATTTCTAAACAAACACGTACACGCCATTGATAAAGCAATGTTTTAAGAGCAAGAGATGTGAAAGTGGCGATGCTCACTTTGATACATTTATTTCACTCAAGTTTCTTGTTCTGTAACCCCATGTCCATACTCAACGTGATCTCCATTATATGCAACACAGCTAACACGGTGTCCTTATTGCTGTAAATATCACTAAGCTTTAATTTATTTATCTTTCTTTATCACCAATGCATTGAAGTCATTTACAAGTTTCTAGAAAGAGAATAATAAATGAGTAAATAAAACCAAAGAGGTAGATTTGTGACAAACTTATGCACATGGGTTGACAGCTGATATGCGCTGAGGTTTAGGCACGTCCTAGTTTAGCTGTTATAAGCACTTATTTTTGCACCCTATGTTACAAGTTTGAATAGCTCACAAATGAAACCCACAAAATATAAAGTTGAACACAAGTATTAAAAAAAAAAAAAAAAGGGAATGACATACACCACACGGAATATCAAGCAAAAGTGTCCAAATCATAGCATGCATTGCCTACTTCAAAATATAAAATTCTAAGTATACAAGATGAATCAACATATGGCATGGAATACCTGTTTAAATAAAAAAAAATTCTGCCCACACAAACTCTTGATCACCATCCATCATTTAAATGGACAGTGATAACCCCAAGGGAGTCTTCCAGAGTCCATTTGATTATGATATACTTTCCCTAAAAAATAACTAAAGGATAGTATCCTTACATCTAACTGCCTAGAAGCCAGAGAGCATTGTTTGCTGGCAAGTAGCAACGACCGAACTGCTGAGGGAAGCTGCTCCTCATGTCTTTGGAGCTCCTCTTTAGTCATCTTTAAGTGCAACAATGAGTTCCCCATCGCCCATTTTCGAGACTCCAGCCTCTGAAGCATATCTTGGAGTTCATTTGACCGGCAAGCTGATTCTGCATTTACCTGCTCACCATATGGCCGTGCCACTAACAAGTGAAATAATCAATTAAAGCCTAGAACAATTTTACCAACAAAATTCAGGAAAACCAAAACATTTTCGAAGAAAACTAAAACTCTACAGCAAGCAGCACCAGGTGTCGACCACCTTGATTTTCTTTATCTTTTACCCTTACAAATATTTTTTCACTTGAAACCACATTTCAATTAGCATCACCAAGAATCCCCCCTTTCATCAAAGATTTTTCTCTTGTTGAAGGGTTATCATACCATGTCATACTTCTACAATATTTTTCTCATTAGTGTTGGACTGTTCACTACATGGTCACTAAATTCTAGTTAACAATCAATAAAACAAAGATCACTGCGCATTTCAATAAAACAAAGATCACTGTGCATTCAGCTTCGTAGAAATCATTGCTCACTGGTTGAAATAAAGGATCACCCAGCATTCTAATTATTTGAATTCCCATATCTCAAAAACCAAATTTTAAGAAATCTCAATGCACAAGTCTATTTATTTTGATCTTTGCAGCTGGAAATATCCAAAGAAACCTACATTTAATACCGGTAAAGTAGAACTCTAAAACAACAACTATTTTCAAATTCCTAACACCCCAACAGCACCCCTAATCTTCGCATCAACAAGAAAGAAATTCAACTAAACAACCACCAAATGTTAATATTTCTCAAACTAAATCCCTATTTTCCCATATTTATCTGAACTTCGAAATGCCCACATAAGAAACTTCAAGAAATGAAATTTTACGACACAAACTTTACGCCCTAATCCCATATTCACAACAGGTATCCACATCTGAGCATTCACATGAATTAGGAAAGTCTCAAAAATAGAAACTCATGAACAGAGCAAAACAAGAATTTTGGAAATGGCACCAAAAGTCCCAAACCCAAAAAAACCTGAAACCAAAAAACCCATACAATGCCCAGAAAGCCCCATGAAAAAAATCGCGAGCTCCAAATACCAATTCTCAATCATGCACAAAGGAACTGAAACCCCAAATCAAGAAATTCAACAAAAGTACCTTGATGAGTGGCTCTAGCTTCTCAACAAGGGCTTGTTTCTTCTCTTTGGCCTTTTTCAAAGCAGAAGACAGGCTCCATAACCTAGCTAGCTCCTGCTCCAAATCCTCCCATGCAATGACCTTGGGCTCCCCAATTTCTTTGTCTTTGGAGGAAGATACAGATTCCTTTTCTGTTTCCATGAATGCAAACACTGTAATCGAACGCTTCAGAATAAGAAATGAGATAACCAGTGAACCGCATCATCTCATGGATCACACAAAACAAAACCAAGAAGTGAACAAGAAAAATGGGTTGGGTTTTGATCGAGAGAGAAAACTAGCGCAAACCGCATTGAAGAGAGATAAAATTTTTAGAGAGAGAAAGTAAAGAAAGAAAAAGAGCGCAAAATGAAACGGAGAGGCACGCTTTTAGAGAGAGAAAGTGAAGAAAGAGAAAGTTTTAGAGAGAGAAAGGAGTGCGGCGAGGCATTGAGGAAAAGTAGATGAAGAAGGGTATTACGGAAATTTAGTACTTCAACTTGGAACTTTTGGGAATTGGACCGTTAGCTTTGTGAAGAATTCTAATCCTTGCTGACGCATATAAATTTTAGGGAAAAGTTTATATCCAGCCCAGGCTCTCAAATTTGAGCCGATCTAAAAAATTTCACTAGAAGAAGTTGTTTTTGATGTTCAAATATCTTAAAATTAATTATCTCGATATCAAGATGTATGAACATGAGAAAAAAATAGATTTTAAGTTTTGAAAATAATGTATTTTGTAATGTATTTTTTGATGGTCAATTTTCAAGATTTTTCAAGTTTTAATAGATCTATAGATGTACACTATGTTTGAAACATTATACTTTACATATATAGATAAAAATATATTTTAAGGTTATCACAAATATTTTCAGTATTAAAATGACATTTTTCGATACTATTTGAAGGTATTGTTTAGAGCCCAAACTCTATACAAACCGTACCCTAAATTTTAAGGGGTAGGCTCTAATTTGATTGTTTAGAGCCTCGGCTCTATATAAACTTTTCTCAAATTTTAAAGCGCAACTATTCCACCATCTTTTACCATTGTTAGAGCTCGTTTTCGACTGTCCGATGTTAGTAATCGACAGTCCCGAGATATCAAGCATGTTGTAGGAAATTCATGATAGGAAAAGCAAATTCTAAACCTTAATTGCATCATCCTCCTCCTATCTCCAAAGATCAATGGAGAGATGGAATGTGGATGGAAAATTTTTCAAATAACTAACATCGACCAACACAATTATGAATTTAGAAAAAATTTTAGTTTTAAATCTTAAAAATAGATCGATTTATGTTTTCTTTTAGGTTATTATTATTTATTTATTTTAATTTTTATTTTTTAGGTGAAGTTAATGGGGGATGGCCCGTTCAGTAAAAGAAATAAAGGAATTACAAAATAAGTTTAAATTACAATCCTATCATAGGGCAATCCGGTTACATGGAGGAAATGAAATCTAGATGTATAGTAGCTTCTAACATGATTACAGCCCTCGAGAGTTCGCCATTTTATAAAAACATGGGTGATATTCAAAGGAACTAGCATAGTTAGAAAGCATGAGCAAATAGTTCGAGATGAATGTTAACCTTCTTCAAATGGAATTTGAATCATTTGATGAAATGGAGAGGGATAGTCTGCTTTAGACTAAACTGCACAAAAAAGCAAGATAATGAAATATTTAAAGGGGAAAGTTTTCTATGTTTCCCGTATAACATAAAAGTTCTATCCTCCCCTTATCTAACCGTCCATTTTTTAATGGAGGGTTAAGATTGTCCCAATCACAATGTCACGTCTCTACACTATTTTTTTATATATATATATAAACTATTTTGACACCAAATTTTGGACGTTCATTCCTCTATTAAACTCCCACTAACAAAAAATATAAAAAAAAAAATATTTTCAATAAAATAAAATGACCAAAATACCTCTAAAAGTTTCAAGGAATATTTTGGTCATTATTTTATCAAAAAATTATTGTTAATATTTTTTTATAAGTGCGCCCCAATGAGAAGATGGTACGTACCAAATTTCATATTTAGAAAATTTGTATTAAAAAAATTAAAAATAAAATACTTTTAGATATCGGATCTAAAATCAAACGGTGAGTGGCTTTCTTGATAAAAAATGAACAGCCGGTAAGAAGAAGATAGAACTTCTACATTGTAGGGAGAACATAAAAATTTAAAACTTTTCTTCTCATGGAGGTAAAGGCGGCATCTTGGTGCTAACACCATTCCCTGATTTGGAACAATTAGTGGTCGAGAAGCATTGATGAAGGGCAAACCAAAAGAACCATTTCACTCATTGTGTGAGGCAGAAGACGAGTGATTAGAAAGTAGGCTATGAAGTTTCTTTTTGCCATATGTGATCCCATGCACTCTTGAAAGAAACGTGACCATCAGGCAAATGTACTCAAACAAGTTAGTTTTCTTCTAATTTTAGAGGGACTACCATGCACTTGCATCGCATACGTTATTAATACGTTACACATAAAGCAATAATAAATACTTAAAAGAAATTATGAAATCTAACTATCAATGCATTACTAGTGTATTAATATTCAAATAATTGTGAACAATATATAGGAAATATGAAATTAAACGATCTATATAGGCTCTTAATCATGTTTATAAACAATAGACGTCATCAAGTTACATGGCTTGAATGAAGTTATATTAAAAATAAAAATAAAAAGGAAAAAATGGACCTCTTTATTTTGATGAACAGTAATAATTTTATTGCTCTCTGCATAAACACCTTGCATAATTACAAATGCCAACATAGGCTAGTACAGCACCAAAAAGGAACATAAACAACACCACTAACAAAATAAAGAAAAAGGTCCTATTGCACAACGACCAACCTATAAACATGATTAAAAGAACAAACCATATTAACAGCAATCAGCCATCTCTCTTATCAAACTGTGTAAGTTTCTAAAACTGCTTTACCAGTTTAACACCTTGCAACATCGCTGTTAATTCTGCCTCATTTGCAGTAGTAACACCTATAGGACCATGGAATTTCAGTAAAACATGACCTCCACAGTCTCTTATAATCCCACAAATACCCACCTGTCCAGGATTCCCCATCGAACTCCTATCAAAGTTCAATTTAATCCAACCATCTGCAAGAGATTTCCACAAGCCAACCCTCCTTTCTTTAGCCACATTTGTTGATTAAAACATGTAAATTGTAGGAAAAAAATGCATAGATTTAGAACTGAGATAAAATAATGTTAAGATAGAAAAGTAGAGACGTTGAATCCAAATAGCTAAAAAAGGGAAGGACATGCTACCCTCACGAGTGTTAGATTATGTAACATGATATAAAATCTGTAAACATATTGGACAACGTTTAGGTATCACAGTAGTGGTGCTTGTGAAGCCATAAAATAAGAGAGGAAAAGAGATCTACGTGCTCAAAATATAGATGGCAAAATCACCAATGTGAATTAGTTTTTAAGATTGCTTTATGCTTTTAAATACTATTTCTCACTTTTTCTTATGCTTTAAAAACTTCTTTTATCCAAATCTCATATTTTTTATACTTTTAATATTATTTATAGTTTTTAATTCATTAAATAAGTTATTTAGTCTTTTCATTTCAATATAAACATTTTAAAATCTTTATATTTATAAATTTTATATTTTAATTATTTTGAATTACAATTTGATTAATTTCTATTAACTATACTATTTTTAATCATTACTTTTAAAATAATTAAATATTTCTTATTCTTTATCATGGGTATGTAAATGTTATCAACCGTGATACTTTGTCCTAATTTTTAGGCACATAGAAATATTAATGTATATAGTTAGCTCGCTCTAGCACCTTACAATTTAAATTTCTACTATTTTAAAATTTTATGTTATTCTTTCATATTTATTATATTGTTAATTAGTTTCTTATATCTATGATAAAAGGTAAATTTAATTTTTATGACTTAAAACTTTTAGAAAAGAAAATTGCGTAAATGAAGGTCTAAAGCACTAAAAATTCAACTTTAAGATTATAAAGGAACTAAAAGCTCTTTTCTACATTTATAATAGATACATCATATTTTATTTGGGATACTTCATAATTCGAATTTTCAAATTTAGCAATTATCTTGCAAAAATTTGTACTTAAAATTTATAAATTATTCATAAAATACAAAATATATAGTAGGTTTCCTTTTCTTTTCTTTTCTAGAATGTATTTAATTTCAATTATTTGAAAATTTGTAATAAATTGAATTTTTTTTTTGTAATTTTAGAAAGCATGTTACTTTTTAAGAAATTTTATATTACTAAATTTAAAAATTAATTCTATTATTTAAAAGTGGTCATAAAAAAATAATTTCTTGAAAAAATAGAAATTATCTTTTATAACTTTAGAATTATTTAAAGGATTAGACATAAGGCTTTCATAAGACTGATCCTGAGCCGTTATCCAAGGACGAATACCTTCGTTTAAGATAATATTTTTGGTATAGAAATCCTGAAATTTAGGATCTTTTGCTGCACGGATTTCTTGGAAAACGAAATCATAGGCACATAGGTTCAAAGTCTGACCAACTACTCCAAGAGCACTCATCCATAAACCGGTTACTGGTACAAATAACATAAAGAAATGTAATCAGCGCTTATTGGAAAAAGCAACCCCAAATATTTGGGACTAAAAGGAGTCAGCAGTGACCATCGAATAAATCTCTTGAACTTGAGTTGGGTTAAAAGTACAGAATATATTTGTACTGCCACCATCTTTAAATAAAGTATTTTCTACGGTAGCCCACAAATAGAGCATAGCATAGCCGCACCCAATACTCTAGCAACTCCCATCATATGAAATGGATTCAACTTCCAATTATGAAATCCTTGAAAGAAGAGAATGAAGAACGAGTTCGAATTGACACAACATGGAACCTATTAGTCTGAAAGCACCATGGAGAACAACAAAAGTCCACAGACACCCTAATTGACACCAACGAGTAAAATTTCCTTATGCTTCAGGTCCCCCACAGTAGCAACAAAGAATGTCTGAAACTATTAGCCGGAGTAGAAACTGAAGTAGTTAAAAAATTGCATCCGTCCAAATAGAAGCTAGCTAATGCATGGATGTACCATGAAGTTAGTAAGCATAGAAATTCATAATCTACTTTGTTAAGAATTTGCCTTTTAGTGGAGAATCTTGTATCGAAAAAAAAATGTTATTTATCTAGAATTTTTAGTCTATAGTATAACCATTAAGAAAGGTATAATGGAATCATTATATATGATATAAACAACAAATTTTTATGATAATAATCCTACAATCATATTTATAATTATTTATTAAATGGTTATGTTAAGATGCTCACACTATATAGTATTTTATTATTGTACTCAACAAATTTGGAC